GGGGGGGGGGGGAAAGGGTATGATAATATTTGATTTTGAAATGACCTTAGAAAGTAATCAAATTAAGAGAAATACTTTAAGGGAAAGTGCATGTAGTATTAGCAGTCTCCAGTCACAAGAAGTCAGAGGAGTAGGCAGTAATAAGGAAAAGTGCACGCTCTATTTCTGAAGGAATGTGACGGAGAGTAAAAAGCCTATCACAACAACCAGGCTGCATTTAAGCAGTTTTGCACTTCTGTCTCTAATTACAATTCAAATAAACTCAACTTTACCTTTTGAAAGGAATCATCCACATATATATTTTCAACTTACAAAACCATGTGCATCCCATATGTAAGCTCAAACTTTTCGATCTTTAATAGGTTTTTGCTAAGAGCAAGCACATTGATGAAGTCACGATGCGCTTTTCTTTGCAGCATCTCAAATAACAAGTAGACAGTCATGTGAATCCCGAAGCGCCTCACACATCTGCATTAAAATTGCACACAGTGTAAGAATTCCAGTTGCAGAACAAGGCCAGACTGAGCTCAGGCACAGCACAGAAACGAAAGAACTGGTTCCAGTCTCCAAAGCTGAAAATTCCTGTCCCATCTCCTAGGTACTGTACTTCCAGGATACAGCCCCTTGAATACTGAAATTGCTCCACCAGAATCGATGTTGTTCTGCCATTCCAACGAAGGCAGTGTACTTCTGGAAGCACAGCGGAGCACGCGGCACATCGACAGTAACACAGCCGATACCGCCCTGCAGGACTGGCATTAACTGGGCCGGCGCTGCAGCCTGCACGTCAGCTTGTTCTATCAGCTTGCCAGCCTACTCTGCCTCTTGCAGCAGCTCAGCATAAAGAGATTTTTCTCCTTCGTCTTTTCCCCCTGCCGGGAGCACTCTGCTGAACTCCACCCGCTCGAGCCCTGTGTAACAGGGCGCTTACATTTCTGCCCTAGCACATCATGCTACAAAGCAAAATACAGGTTTATACATACAGCTGGTTTCTTAAAGCAGCCCTCAGGGTGATGAGTCACATCTGTAGTAAAAGTTAATGGTTGTAATTATGGCTCAGTCTCAGAATCTGAAGCAGTTGGACCACATGAAAATGTCTTTCTACTTTAGCTATGAATCTATGATTTGGTGGTTCCACTTCCCCTTTAGATTTTTCCACTATATGATACAGAACAAAGACCTAATGCACATGGAATCAAGACCACAAAATTTCAGTGTAAACATAAGTTGTATCTGGTTTTACTTAACAATCCCAAGTTCATTTTTTTGGAAGCGTTAGTGTGATAAGATAGTAATTTGGCTATAACAGAAGACCCCAGAGTTTCCCAGTAGATATGCCTGGCTATAGAATTTTTTATTTCCTGTTGAAAAGAAAAACTAATGCAGATACTGCTGAAGAGCTGTCATGTGGAGGCAAATAGTTATATATTTTTCATGTATCACGCACAGACACATGTAAACTTTACACATATTTACAGTGAAGTGCAGTGGTACGCACTATCGGCTGAGGCAGCTGGTGAAGACAGCAGTTACCATAAATCCACAGAATATTTTATATGTAAAGTTGTTCCTTCTAGTTTTTAAAAAAAAAAAAATTAAAAAATCCTTAAAGACCTAGTATACTAACATCCCAATTCTAAGAAACCCAATGTTATTCAGAGCAGCTACAAGCATTTGTGCTAATTCAAAAGAATCTTGAACAATTGCTTCAACTGATGATTTAATTCACAGTATTTTATTTATAAGAGATTTTCAAGGCTTGAAGCATTCCTCTAGTAAGATATAAAGAAGAAATCGAAGCTAAAGAAGCATCAACTGCTCATTCAGAGGAGCTAAATATAAGAACTTCAGAGTTAGTTCCCAAGGACCGTGCAGACTCTGGCTATGTGGGAAAATAAATCAAACGATGGTGCCATCTCTAATGGGAAACAGAGAGGCAATCTCACCACAGACTCGAAGAAATACATAGGCACATTTTCAAAAACTAAATAGGGTATTTAACAACAAACAAAAACACAGAGCTTGAGCTCAACTTTAAAACCACATTGGCAGAGAAGGATGAAAAAAGTTCTCTTAAATGGGTTGAAATTCTTTATTTTGCTTGTGCTCCTTGCCAATAATGTTAATACACAGCATGCCATCTCAGCAGCAACTATTCTTGATTTAACATTTCATTTAGAAACATGCTGTACGTTGGACTACCAAACTACAGACCACAGTGTAGGCATTTAACTTCTTGTTGTTATGATGAAACAATCAGCTAAGGAAATAATTTTGCATCCCCCACTACATTTGAAAAAGAATGATGGCCATGTAAAGAAAACTAATTCTTTTGCAAGCAGACATAGGACAAAGTACTTGTACAGTTACTAGGAACAGCAAGAAAAAGTAGCCAGAGCTTATATAATGAAGCCACTGATTTAATAAATCTCTTTCATAACTCTCTTATTTTAGCTACTACTCTTAACATAAGCACTGCAGAAGGACAAAGCCATAAAACTTTTCCTAAAGTCTCTACTAGAAAGTATGAAAATGAGTCTTAGGGGAAGAGAACATTTGACAAGATTTGGTTAAATAATGAAGAAACACAGCATCCTTAGGGATTAAATTTAAAAGCTCAACACTTTCCTGTAATACACATTCCTTGCAGGAGTCAAGCAAATACTTTCTGTGTAGGAGCCACAACGTTTTGTCTGCGTATAGTATGTACCTATATGAGTATTAGCTGGTAAGAGCCCCAAGAAATGGCAAAGCAAGGTGCCCAGCAGCAACGTGTGCCCTCTAGTGACAAGTATTTTAAATTAAGAAGCTGTGATCGGGAGAAAAATCTTCATTAAAAGATACAGCAAGATTTAACATAAACTCAGTCATAAATGTTTGGAGAGAAGTATTTAGAAAAAAAAAAAAAGAACAACAATAAAACAAAACAGGCAAAAGGCTTCTACTAAATAGCTCCTAAACCTGTCCCTCCTAAATCCCAGGGAAAATCACCAAAGACCATACAAACATCACAACTGGAAGACACTGAGGTCACAGCATCAGTCAGTTAAATTTAATTTCTTCTTTACTACGCACTGCAAGGTAGGTTTTTAGTACAGCAGCACTATCCATGTGCTTCTGCCCATGGTGAGCGAGCGACAGTGGTGGTGCCCTGGCACGGCCATGCAGAGGCTCGCCAGGAGGCAGGGCTATGCCTACACTGACCTGAGTGTTGTCCCACTTGCTGGGTGCAGCAGCACACGTTTCGGACGCGCTCCTGATCCCACCTGAAGCAGCAGGACTGCCTGTCCCCAGCCCCGGCGGCTGCACAGCCACGCTCAGGAAGGTCAGCTCCGCAGGCAAGCTTTGCATCCCTTAAATGACCTTCAGAGGTTAGGAAACGCCAGAAACAGTCCTTTTCCAAATCTAACGCATTTCCCTCAGCACATAATCTGCAAGGAACCCCCACAAGATCGATCCTGAATTCTCATGTTACCGGTTTTGGCTAGAATTCCGGCAGAAGTGCATCAATATGGTTAAAATAAAACAAACTACATGATGCTAAAAGAAAACTGAAATCTCCCAAGCCTCACTCAAATTTAGTTTGTGTTTGAGGCAAAGGATCACAATAGCTTTTCTCTACCTGAATCAAGCTGCAAAGATGCATTTTCGATGCTGAAAGCACTGGCAGAAAATACATGTTTTTAAGAGTAAGTGTTACTCTATCTAACTGGCTGGTTAGGAGACAAATAAATTTTGTTTTAAAATTTAAAAAAACGCACAAAAAAACCCACAAAACCACACTATATATAAACCAAAAAGCACTTAAGACAAAGAGAAGAAGTGTCATTTTACAAATACCTAGTTTCAGGTGCACAGAACAGAAAACATTATAAAAACCACAAATCCTATTAAAAGATGCATTAGGACCTCCCAAAAGTCCTATTAACAGTATAGGCTGTAAGTGATTTACTGCCCGACACGCAAAAGGAGCTAATGATTCCCAGAGGTGATTTTCTGTCGATCAGAACAGACAGAAGGGGAGCATGAAGAATCTGACAAAGCTTAACTACTTTTATTCCTACTCTTGCAGTTAGACACAGACAGCTTTGCTCCCCGGGTCGGTCGGGCTGCCAACTTTCACAAACACTGAATTCAACATGATAATGCTGTCTTGGACCCCTCCCCTCCATTTATTTTGCTCTACAAAAGCTACTCTCCATGGATTTAGAAACAGGTAGGTTACAAGCTGATATTTCTAAAAGAGACATGTTGCAATACAAGAAGTCTTGACCGCTAGCAGGTAATTTTGACAACAAATCCTAAAAGAAAAACCTTACATTAGAAACTCATATCTGCAATACACCTAACTCATAAAACAAAAAATTTGCTTGTCTCAGTTGGAGTTATGTCCTTAGTCTCCTCCAGCTACTAAACAAAGTCAGGCAATAGTTTTGTTATACCTCTCCCAGTTAACAGAACCAGACTATTAATGGAGGCATATAAAAAGTACAACTGTTCCTGCTTATTTGACTCAGCAGACCACTAACGGTCCTGAACACTGCAACTTGTGTTTCTTTACAAGGAGAGAGGAAATATAACATGGAGCCACCAGCTTTAATACTAAATGGGAAGGGAACAGCAGCTGTACAAGTCTGGATGAGGATTGCTCAGCAGGGAACTATACAGCTGCTTTTAAAACCAGTAATGGCATCATTTGTATATAATTGCTTTTGTGGAAGAACTAGGAATGGGTATGAATGAGTTCAGAAAGTTATGTGAGCAACTTCAGGCAAGCAGCAAGGATTTTTCACTTTGCAGGAATTAACACCATCTCCTGATCAGAGTTTTAAGTAAATGAAGGCTCAGGTCTTGAGTCTGTCTTTAAAACTGAGCTGCAGTGCTTTCAGCTTTGTAATATTTAAAAATCAGAGCACCTTAAAATTAGATTTATTCCAAAACTCAGAAAAATAGGGTGAAGCTCCAACTAGGTAACTGACAGTAACTTTCATTCAGTTAGAAAGACTTTGATAGCTGAAAAGCATCCTTAGTTTTCCCATGTTTCCACACTAAAGTCCTTTTTTTCCCCTTCTACACTGTCTCTCACATTGACTGTGACTCAATTCTTTTGCTAAAGTAATAATTTTGAATGAGAGGTACAGTAATATCCCATGCTCACCAAGTATAGGCTCAGTTTGGGACACATGATGCCTTCCAATACACACCTGTCTTCCAAGCCTGATGAAAACATCAGATCCTGTCAAAGTTCTCTCCCTCAAAAGTCTTTCCCTCCTTTATTTTATGATGAAATAACCTGACAGACTATATAACACACCAATACGGTACTGATCGTTTAGGGATCCACTTGCATGTAGAAAGCCAGAGTGAATTATAAAGTAATTTTCTCAATTTTTTTAATACAAAAAGAGCAGACCTAGTGCACATCAGCCAAATCTGGCCCACATATAAAACGAAACTGAAGTCAGAAGTTGTTTTTTTGTTACTTTTGGGTTGTTGGCAGGGTTGGTTGGTTTGTTTGAGAGTCATACAGCCTCCAATTCCTTTGGGCATTTTACAATTTCTCAATAGCTATATAGAACTTCTACTTTCAATATTACCTTTATTTTCCAGGGGCTTTCAATCAGACACCCAAAAAGTTTATTCTTTAAACTCTTGTTACAAGACAATGTTGGGGCCTATGATTTTTACTTTGTGAAATCAGAAGGCCTATGTTGATAGAAATCACACACATTCTCACCAGCTGTTAGTATGGTTTTCGCACTCTGGGATATACTGGAAGATCTCACAATTCCCGAAATGCCTGCAGATAGAAAAGCACACAGATGTTACCCATCTTCGCAGTTTTGTGGGGATTTTTTTATCCTCCGACATACACAAAAAAGTCAAATATTTTTCCAATTATACAATCAAGCCAGCCTGCAAGTAAAACATACGCTTGAGCTGAGCTTGTTTCTGTTCTGCTTTGTCATACTAATTGAAAATATTCTCAAAGCTACTTTAAATTATTTTATATACAACACACACAAAAAAACCCCAACAAATCAATATTAAAACAGGTAACAACCAGTAGGAATTGATCAAATTAATTCATTTAGTGTTCCCGTTATTTCTGCACTAAGATGATCAGTCACAAAGGATTCAGAGTTGTTTCATTTAAGTACTGGCATATTAACTTTCTAGAGCAGAACAAATTATGCTCATTGTTTACTTCAGTATAAAATTGGGCTTTTGCACTTCTCTGATCAAGAAGAGATGATTATTTGTGCAATGTTTGTCTGGCTTTTTTACATTATCAGTTTTTGGAGATACAGCTTGTTCACCACTTTGCACTGCAGCACATTCAGTTCTCATTGTACAGTGGATGTTAGGGATTAATGGAAAAATATATAAAACATTAAAACTTTTTTGAAATGTATTCAGTTTTATCTGTTCTAACACATCTATATAAAAGCATACTGATGTGTGCAGAACAAAACCACTGTACATTAGTAAATACTTAAAAACGTAGAAATGCAGCAGTCCCAGTTAGTCTTCCAAACTAAAAGTTATTCTTCTGCATTGACCAGAATGTAAAAGATAATTTCAAATATTATTTTTAAATCTTTATTTCAAAGCTACTTTTATAACGCGGACCAAAGGTTAGGGAAATCCATGAGTAAGTAAGAGGGATACAGCATTCCACCATAAAGCAGTTTGGGGCAGTAGGGGTGGGGCAGGAACAAATCATGTTGAGTTAGTAGAATACCTAGGGACAATACAACACGACTTGTCTTGTAGGATTACCAAACGGCCTACCCTGTCCTTTATCCAGATTCTCGAATTAGGACAATCTTTTGGTCACAAAAGTGAAAGAGGGGTTTCGATTTGTTCTCCTAAGAGGATAAACTGCTTGGCTTGGGAAGACAAACCCATCCAATGTTCTGACCCTGAGCGGCCGCCCCATGGCGTACAGCCCCCGGTCACAGCCATGCCTGCAGCACCCAACGCACACCGAGCCACAAGGACCGTCAGCTCAGGGTGGACAACTCGGAGCTCTGAAACTACCTGCTGCTCCCAACCCCTGCCACTCCTGCTCCCAGATTCAGCAATTACTGCATTACTGTTGCAGTTGAGCCACAGGAGCACAGAAGCCGCCAGAGACTGACGTGAAAGACGACGGGCACCTTGATGTCCAGGTGCAATTCATCCTATACTGTCAATGGAGAACTGCAACTCTCAGGAGCTTTATTTGCCCAAACTGAAATCGGCGTTGAGAGCTCCCTCAGCTAGTTAGCTAGTGTCTCGTGGCTCTCAGGCTTCCAGGGAGTTTTTGCTGTGCTCAAGGAGCTTGCAAAATTGGCCACCTGGAACTAAGACGTTTCAAGTTCTTTAAAGATGTAAAGGACTCTTCAAGTACTCAACAGTTTCATTTTTCTGCAGAATAATAAAACAGGGATGTCTGCAGCATAAGCTTTATCTTGCTCATACAACATTATCTTGCCTCAGAGAAGGTACCTGTGATGATGAGAAACATCTCAATCTTTTTCCTTAAAGCCAGAGTTCTTTACCAGAACTCACATATCTGGACTAACTATGGAAATTGAGAAAGATAATACCAGCAAGCTAGAAAATTAACTCAGCATTGCAATATACGACTTGTAGGACATATAGCTTAATATTTCAATTAAGTTATGCCAGCCAATGAAATCCTGAAGGTACAAGCATCCCAGAGGCAGATGGTCTAAGCAGGCCACACTAATTCCTAAAGACTATTTCTTTCAGAATCCAAACCAAAACATAACTTGCTGTATTAGTAGGAATGCTATTTGCTATTATTTCAGAAAACCTGTCTGCAATCAAACAAATCTAAACCCATACTTTTAGGAATGTATCTCAAGATTAACTTCTTGTTTCGTTGTCCTGCTCTCTAAATCATCCTCCTGAACTCGAAGAACATGTACAATAAGTCTGTATATCTATCATGTCCTAAAGCAGATTATAGACACTGATCTAGGCCTACCTTCATGCACCACAAATCCACAGTCGGGGTCATGGGCAACTTGCAGTAAAATTTCTTCCACATCTCTGTTTTTTCCAGGAGGGTCTACCAGAGAAGTTATCTTTTGTTGCAGAGTCCTTGGCAAAGCCATTAGTTGTGTAAATTGACCTTCTGGACTTTTATCAATCTGAATGTTATAAAAAAAAAATAAGACAGTAAAAATATTCAGTGTTAGTAAAGCAAGTTCTCTTTTCGAAGAAGGCAGAAAAGTCTTCTGGCTATCTTTGACCTCTGATAAATATCATAAAGAACACAATCCATTTCACTTGTAAAAGTCATTGACAGCCCTAATGAAAACTTCCCAAACACAGGGAAATGCAGTGTCTCAGTTCTGAACCTGAAGAATAACTCAATGCAAAGATGTTAATTTTTATCTAAGGGAAGATTAATGTACAATCATGATCTTGCTGCCTCTGCAAGCAACTTTTCATTGAAACTGTATAATTTCTGCTCTAATTTCCTTTGGAAACACAAGTACACTACAATGAAAAAAAAAGTTCCCAAAGGATCACTTAGCTCAGTTTCTTCTGCCTGAGTATAATCAAACTATACACACACACACACACACACATTTTCTCTGCTTTAAACTCAAACCACATCTGGTTTGTATAATTTGAAGGAAACATTCATTCCACATTTTCCAATTGAAATCAGAAATTCAATGACCCTTTTTTTTGAATACAGTGATACCAACTTGCAGGCCTGTACACATTCATACAAAATGTAAGCACAAATACTGAAAAATGCATAATGGAGCAGATCTCTCCAGAGCTGGAGGAAAATATGAAGAGCTTGATTCCTCCCACACGACTTTTTAGACAGTTCATGGAGACGTCAGACAGGAGTCTAGTTGCCCTACACGCTCTCTTGAGTCAAGGGGGAGAAAATGATATCCAGATGAATCACCCACTGATTACAGAGGGAGCCGACGATGAGCAGGCTCTCAACAGTACGTGGGAGGAATCCACGCCTGAACCAGAGCTATAAGAACTAGTGTCTGCCTTCAATTGTTTCTGAGGAATCTTTTAAGAAATAATTTTCTCTGTAAGTCTCTGAAGACTTATGCTTGGAGAAGGGGTTTCTGTTCTGCGTTGCGCAGCACTTCTGATAGCAGTTACCCTCTCCAGTCTGCAATAACCAGACCAAGGTGTAAGGAACACATTACTGTTGATTTTTAGCAAAGTGCTTTAATAAAGTGATGGCATTTAATCAAAAGTCTCGATGACTATTATAGAATTACAGACAGATTTATTATCCTACAATGTATTTGTAGTATGCTACCAGGATTTGTTTGAAGGTAACACAACAGGGAGTATTGTTCTAACTAGCCATTTTCTTGGAGAAAGGATTACTGATTCTTTTCAAATTCATTTAAATACTTCTTCCACTAAACTGTTCAAAAGGACATGGATAAGAAAACATGGAGACAGCTGCAGTATAATACAGATTCTCCTACGCTGTACTCCAAAGTGTTGCAGTAGAACTGTTTACTGTACTCAAGCTTGCTTATATCTGTACTTCAGTTTCTAACAAAGATGCATCCTAAAAGGAGGCATTCATGAGATAATTACCAAGGTGCCAAGGTGACTTGAGGATAAAGAGATACCCATGTCCATGAGACAAGCCATGCTATTTGTAACTTCACGTTGAAATGTCTGTCACACTTGAATATTCACATCCAGACCTGCACACTACAAGAGGCCAAATTGCTATTGGACCGCTGACCTCTTCCCTAATTGCAATGTTAAACTTACACCTCATGCCAGAAAGATGGAATTCAAGATACCGGTCATTTTGGATACCTGTTTCCCAAACACTAATAAAAAAATGGTTTAGTATGGGTATTTAAAGATAATGCCAGAATTTCATTTGGTTTTAGTCAACTGATCTTCATAACTAGCACTTTAGGGTTGGGTTTTTTTTTGTGAGATGTAGTTTTTGATCGCAGAAAGTTGCACCTCTAAGTTACAGGCTAATCTTTTTAACACAAACCATATGTTTATTCATCACTTCCTAGACTGTTGCTTCCATATGGTAGTCATTAGAACACATGTTTTTAAACGATCTTCTCTTGTTCCTGTGCTAGGGCTCTAGTTCTGCACCCGTATTCAAAGAAAATGAACAGTAGTTACTACATATGCAGGGACTGGTATTTAAGGCAAGTCTTCTGGTTGCAGAATTAACTAAACAACAGAAACATAACAAATAGCAAGTACGGTGACTAAAACTGCTCATGTTAGTGTATGGCATAATTCTTGCCTTCTGTCAATGTGATAAAGTACAAACACTTGCTTGTTTAAAAAAATGTTTTGAAGAACACTTGCCTCTAGCCTTCCCAGATGGTGCTTGTATACCACTTGAGGGCAGTCCTGTAATATGTTACTGTACAGCTTCTGAAAATGGGGAACATTAGGTTTCACTATGTTCTGCACTTTCGATCTGTCTTCTCCTATTATCATTCTGAAATCACCTAGGCAAGAAAAACAAAAACAGCTAATTAATTAGGAAAAAACTAAAAACTCAAATAATATAACAGAAACCAACATAGTACAAGGCTGTCATCTAAAACTCCAAAATAAATTGGAGAATAACTCCAACTCTACCTATGCCTATATAAACCACAACAAGGTTCACCTTCTAATAGTCTCAAAAGACTATTCCAATACCTTCAAGCACAGAAAATGAGATCCAGAATTGCTACATGGCCTCTGATATGCTGCAATGTCATCAACCCATGTGTCCACGTTTTCACTTGGACAACGAAAAAATCCCAGCTGTCAAGCTCAGCCTCCAAAGCAGCAGTAAATAGTTATATTCTTTGCAACCATACACCAGTTCCAACAGATTACTAAACAGGTGACCAGCTCCAATACTTTGTATCCAGAAACCAATACCCTTCAATTTTCCCATATTGAAAGAAAATAATTTGCATTGTCTGCACTTCCAAGCGCAATACCTGAAGCACAGCTAATGGCAGTCATAGTAAGACGACAGTATCACCTTTTCCTCTTAGCCATGTTTTGGGTTTTTTTTTTAGTAGTTTCAAAAGCAACTTCCTTTAAAGCCATTGTTACACTACTGACCTTTACGCTTTCTTTTATGATACACAAGTGAAAAGTTTCAGAAAGAGTAGGTAAAAAGAAGGTCAGTCTGTAATAGAGCATTCATCTACCTCTGTTAGATACTACCTTGGGAGCTTCCAGGGTTACCAACCAGGAGTTAGAGGCTCAGTGCAGCATGTATCAACAAACAAAATTCTGAATCAATTCATTTTCCCTACTTCCCATATTCAGGAGATAAATGCTGTTGCAAGGTGGCAACTTGCTAGCACTACTTGGTTTATTTCAATTTATGCCAAGCCACAAAATAAACACTTCCATATAAATGGTACTGACTCATTCTCTCAAAAAAATGCATCAAAAAATAAAAGGATAGACATTTTCCAAATTAGAGCATGAACAACTCTTTTCAGCAGTCTCAAGGAGACTGATTAGAGTAAGACATAACATCAATTTTGTGGACTAGTATACCCTCTGAAAAGTTTAAACCTTAACAAAATGGCAGCAAAATAAAACATGCACAAACATGTCATTGACAGCCTTTTTCTTGAACATTCCCAACTGGGAATCTTACTGCTTTAGCTTTGTTCACACAGCAGAGCCAATTTCAACATCTTACAGCATGGCAACTGATCTCCCACATTTTTGGTTAATTGCACTGTTTCGAAGGACATACAAAAAAGTATCCTGGTCATTAGTGCCCACCAAGAACCTAATGACATTCCTGGACAGGTTTGAGGTGGGCAGATATGCAGCCCTGCAGCAAACATCCCTGGTCAGCAACTTTTAGCTGTCCCACTGTCAGTACCCTCTTTACTGACACTTTCGAACAGGCAACAGCTCAGAAGAAAACTGCTAAGGAAAAGATGAACAAGTCACAGTCTAAACTGACCAGAGAAGTACCAGGTAAAGAACAGTAACGCTCCTCAGTGAAGCCAAGCTGCAACTTATAAACCCTACCTGCATATCTGTGCTTTTTTTTTTTAAAAAAAAAAAAAAGCCAAACTTGCATTTCTATATGAGCAAAGAAAGTGCTGTGTGAAGTACAACTCCAATCAAACTTGTTCACAGTCATTTCGTTAAGGATATCAACATTTAAAAAGCAATGCTGAATTAAATCGTAACAATTAAATCTTGTATTGAGGAGTCATTTGAAGCAATTTCTTAAATGTTTTTCAGTACCAATTCATACCATTTTCGTAACTAAAGAAAGGAGGAAATTCTCTTAACAAAAAAAAAGTCAAATATCAACCAGGAGGTGAGTTAAATGTTCAATATATATTGAAGGATCATAATCTGGATATTTAAGTTAACTAAATAAGAACCTTAAACACAGCACATTCAAAAAGGAAGCGATGACAAAGCATAGGTCAGACTATCAGATGAATCAACATTACACTGAGAGTGAAAAGAAAAAAATTTTCCAAGGTTTGGAACCATTAAAACCAAAACACGATCCCTACAAACAGAAAAACACCACCAAACATTATTTCACCATATTCAATCACCTACACTTCTTATACCTGCTTGGTTTATGCACAGCTAAGTTTTGCTTATGTACCTACACCTATTTTCTATGAACAAGCACAATTAGTCTTTCCCAGCTGTTCTGCAACACAGCAGTAACACACAGTTATTGGAGCACACAACAGTGTAGGCCCAAAGCAAGGGAGCAGATGACTTATTCCACATTAGACTTCCTACCGTGGGACAACAGCTCCAACTACAGCTTTCCTCCTCAAAAATTCTAGACACCGTATACTAACCAGAATAGGAGAGTCCTGCAATCTGCATATAGAGGTCTTCTTCAGAGAAACTTTCTGGTAACATGAGGAACGCTGCCGTGACTGCACTCTTCAGGTTGCTAACGAGAGCAGCTTGCAGCTTGCTATTCTCATTCTGTGTCAGTATTTTCACCTGAAAAAGCAGAGTCATCGGAAGCAAGGCTTCAGGAAAGTGCTGCTGAAGATGGAGCTAGAAATGTTACTCAATCCAACATGACAAAAGAAATAAGAAATTTATTTAAGATTAGATCCTATTATTATAGTACAGTGATTAGATCCTATTGTTACAGTACAATAAAGACTACGGTGTCGCCTTTTGTTTACACAGTGGGAGAGAGGAACATCTTTTTAAAGTATTAACAGCCTGCTACAAAAGGCTGTTTTTACAAACACTTTGGGAATTGCTATAAGGAACAGCTATTAACTAATCTCTGAAGAGCTATTCACCTTCTCATACTCATGAATTCAGAATTAATCAAAGAGTAAATACAAATGCATTAACAGAAATACCTCATATGTGATTGTGCAACAAGAAAAAAAGACCAGTCACACTCAAAGACAATGGAATACCAGAAAAAGAGGTAAGTTTTCCTATTCATCTACATTATTTTTTTTTTTAATAGAAGACTCCTCTATCATATGCTTCAAGTAGTTTCTCAGACACTACTTGTCCTCCTAGAAGAAGCAGAGCTTTGATTTGCACTTCGTATGAGCAGAATACGAACACCATGGGAACTTCACACATGCATAAAGACCAGATCACTGAAGTTGAGTGCTTCCACGTGCCACAAAGAGAAGTTAATTTTTAGTAAACATTCAAACTGTTCAAGACCAACTACAGACTCCAGTCACCTAGGATATGGAAATAAACTGGAATAAAAAGCAGATCTTCAGTAAGAACTGAGTACAGAAACGTATTATTCTAGAACATTAGACAGATGAAGTCAGCCTGGTTTACAAGATGGCCAACTACGCTCTTTCCAAAAGAGCTCTCCCAAGAACACCTGCCTGTTGTGAGTTTGTCTTTTTCAAGTGTTCTGATTAAGCAATACTGTCTCCCTTATAAAGGGCAGCTTCTTAATGTTTGTTCACTCTTGAGCCCCTTAAAGTGAAGACCCACTGGCAGTTATGTACAAATGTATCCAACTGACTTTGACTCCCCAAAAGCCCATTCCCACACAAATGAGTTCCAATATTACTTGAATTTCTGCCTCCAAATATAACCCGAAAGAGCTAAGGTATATTTTCAAGTAAATATTCTCCTTTAGGAATGTAAACACTCTGTTAATGAAGACCCAAAAAAAAAAAAAAAGAGAACACAGATTCAGTACAGTAAGAAAGAGAATCAGACGCATCTTCCACACAAAATTCTTCTTATAGAAAGGACATTGACAAAGCAATGGCATGGCTGGCCAATACAAATTCGAAACATAATTTTTAATTACGGTGAAATCTTTAAGAGGGGTAAAACTAGAACAATATCTCATTTTGGTATGGTGGTGAACGTAACAGTATACAGGCTGCTTGTTTCTATCATTCTGCACTAAAGCATGGGTTTGCCTAACATCAAATCTATACGATAGTCTGGAATTGGTCCACGGTGGATTTTTGAAGGATGCTTTCCCTTCTTCAATAATCATTTTAAAAACAAAGAGTTCACTGTACAAGTGAGCACTTCAGAATTCCCAGGATAAACTAATATTTAAAATCTCATCAACTAATTCACTTATATGTACTTTCGTAACTTGCTGCTACAGGGAAACTGTAAGGAAAGAGGGAAGAGAGAAGCCTGAGGCACCCCAGGCAGTCACACAAACTGCTTATACCTTAGGGTAGCCCTGGAAATAACAGCAAGTTATTGACATGTTTTAAGAACATCACAGTTACAGCCTTTTAAAATGTGAAACTCAGCAGAGATGCTATTCCTCCTCAGGGAAGACCGCAGACTCACTTTAGTGAAGTAAAACGAATAATCTCCTCCTTTGCTAAAAATACTCCCTAACATAAACCAGATTTTTTTTTAAAGGGAAATAATATGCCAGGCTTCAAAATTTAAACACATGAAACACTACAATAGTGATACCATTTATGAACAAATTTTAAAGGGTTCAGGTAGCTAGAAATCTTCCAGGAAGACAGAGTGCAATAGCTATTGTCAAGGTATGCCAAGGATTCATGGTGATTCTTGGGGTAAATCTGAAAGATAATCAAAGTTAAGGAAGGCTTTTTCACAGTAAGAAAGCTTATGAACTAGTCACTGTCTCATATCACGTAAGGGGGAAGGAAGTAGTCAATTTATTCTGGTTTTACAGAATACAGAGAATTCAGTTAACTAAGTGCAGTTGAGACTTTAAATTATTAAATATTTTAACTGATGGATATATTCAATTTTATGAATAAGCATGACCTTCAGTCATCACCACAGTTTAAAGTGGGAAATGTACTACCTTCACTGCTAGGAAGTTCATACACAAGAAACTGCAGGCACATGTACAAGAAGATACTTACAGACAAACAAAATACACAAAGAAAATCTCATTATAGGATGAAGGGTGTCAAAAGCACTATTCCAGTTTGCATTTTGCCACATCCACACTCTGCTAAGTATCACGATAAGAGGATTTTTCCATTCTCTTTCAAAAAATGTTTCTACAGATCTGGACAACTGAAAAATTCTGTAAGAAAATATGTGCTCTGTCACTCCTTCATGGGAATTTTTATAGTATAAAACAACCTAAACCTTCCAAGACTGCTTTAAAAAGCACAAGATATTCCTAAACACTATTCATACTCCTCTCTCTCCTCCATCTCACTTCAATTTATTAAACACTTCCTTCTCTTTAATAGTTTCTCCAGGACAAGAGTAAATTCAGCTGCTCACACTAAAGCAGTTACTTACATTCTATGTTTAACAAAAATTCAGTAACGATTCAGGTACTTTTTAAAATCTTTTTCCTCTGAAAACCAATTATGTGTCACTTGTGCTTATTTATTTTACTTTTCAGGTACAGCATTATTTTTTTTTATTTCCAGGAAATCTGTCAGTTACGGAGAAATTACAACTAAGTTTGTTCAATTTTTCAACACAGTTAAATGGGAATTTAGCTGATCAGTGTTATAAGTTTCATATAGAATGAAAAGCCAATAAACTTCTAACACAAACAAAGAAGCCTGGGAAGAAAAGTTAGCATCTCTAAGTGGCAATTCCAAATTCCATCTATTCCGCCAAACATTCTGGAAAGATTACTTGGTCAAGGCAACCAGTTTATAACAGAAACAAAACCTCCAGCGAAAATTAAGCCAAGATTTTCAAGCCAGAGCAAATGTTTTAGCTCATGTGCTCGAATGGCTTGGATAGCTTTCACTCAGAGTGACAGCTTTGTAATGAAACACCAGAAAGGCGCTGAGCTCTTCCTCCTCTGTGCGAGAGTGAGGAGGAAATTCCCAAATGAACTGTTAAACAATATTAATTTGTTTTCAGTCAACCATGTCCAGGGCTAGCACAAGTGGCAAACGGTATGTAAGGGATTATAGCGTGTGAGAAAAGAAACCTAACCCTGTGTCCCCTCCAAAAGCAGCTGATTGTACATTTTTAAGGAGGCAGGAAAAGCTTTCTGTTGCTACCACTCACAACACGTATATCAAAACATCAAACCAGTTGTGAAGCCAGAATCAGCAGACATTTGAAACCCATCTAAGAGATCTAAGCAAATTATTTGGTCATTTCTGGTCAACACAGTACAACATTCAGAATCCTAGTTGGCAATTTCACAAATCCTACAGGAACAGACAGTTTAAACATTCACCAAGTAATCTTTTTCGGTCCAAGTCTAGTGTAAGCTCTGCAGTCTTTACTCAATGCAAATTTCTGTGAGCTTTAAGAAATCAATCTGGACTGATTTCTTCTGTTATCTATTCTGCCTTCCTGTGCAAGTATGTACTTCCACTGAATTTAACCAAAAGATACAAAGCACAATTCACATATACAAAAATGAAAAATTCTAAAACAAATCAAAGCAGCAGCAAATGCAGTTACAATGACAATTCAGTATTCATCATTAATGTGAAATCAGAATTCTTCCTTCAGTTATTTTTCTCAATGTATTAAGTTTCATTCAAAGATCATTCAAAGACAACAGCTATTCTAACCTGTATCATGCTACAATACGTCCCCGAAGACAGAGAAAAGCCAGCAGTGCTGAGACAATCTATTCAAACTTTCACCCCAAAATTTTAGTTAAAAACATAATTAACTTCTGTTCTAAGACTTGAACAGAGTTCTTCTCTTAAGAAATTTTAGCAGCACTGCTGCCACCTGCTGAAAGCACACTGAATCAGGCACTCACAGGGAAGCAAAGACGTCATATTTATTATGAAACAAACACGGAGGAGAAAAAACAACATGCTTAACACATGGTTCGGTCAATTAGAGATAATTTAAGAAGACAATGAACTATACGGTAACTGCACAGCAAAGCAGCTTTCATCTTTAAAGATTTCCATTATCTAACTGAGTTAAATTTTGGTGACTCCTGTAATTTGTGACGAAAGGTAAAAAGTGCATTTAACATTAAAGGGACTTCGAGTTAATATAGTCCAGTTATTCAAGATTTACTACAGGCAGAAAACTATAATTAATACACTTACCTTTTTTTTTTTTTTCACACATAACAGAATATCATTAAGCACTACATTTAACTTCCTGAGAGATTATCCCTTCAGGACTAGACCCCTAAAATCAGGGCAGATTTGGTCAGCACTGACGCATAGATCCTTAACAGTTAAAGTTAAAGCTACAACTGATAATTTTCCAGCCCTGTAATTTCCTGCATTTCAAGACAGATAACTGAACAGACTAACAGTTACCGGTTTTTGTAGGCGTCCAGCGACGTAGAGGGTTTTCCAGTGAAGTAAATCATCAATCAGGGTATCAGTGCTAATTACACCATATTTTATCATCTGGAGAAAAGCAAAATAAAGGCTTTTGAAAAACCATATACCTGCACCGTTTTTACTATATGAAACTTAGTACTCACTATAACTGTCATTAATTCTAAGGAACACAACCTCCAATAAAACACTGAACACATAGCACTAAAACATTTTAATGTTTTAATAAACACAGGAGGTAAACAAAACTCCTATTTACATGCAAACTTCTGAAGGAAAAAAAAAAGTGGAACATGAAGATGTACAGAATTCTCTAAGATCCTTTCTAGAATCAAAGTTACAGTAAAGTCACCCCCAGATCAACCACTAAAGCAAAAGAGTTACATCTCAAAGAAATCTAGTCTAGACAGATGTTGACACTGAAGAGATCTGAACATAAGAATACAGCTGTTCACAAGAAGATTTTGGAAAGGTTATGATCAGTTTTGAACCACCCAAACATTACAATAGTTGGCATAATCAAACAGTATCCTTAATGATATTGAAAGCACTCAATAAATAGTTTGTCAAAGATCTAAAAATCAACAAAACTTAGATATTTATGTGTACCGTTATTGAGGGGTGGGGTGCATATCAGGGAGTTTTTTCTTTTGCTCTTTGATGTTAGAACACAAATGGTGATTTTGTAGTTCATTTTATGTAAGTGGAAAAAAAGATGAACTTTCAACAGTTTGTTACAAATCTGCACTTCTTGAGTTTCCAAAGACTATCATCACAGCAAGGCAGCCAACTCCAGAATTTCTGGATAACAATGGACCATAGACTGTGGTACGATCGAGTCATTACCGCATGATATAAGAGCATAAAGAGCCAAGACGACCAGAATTCCAAAGCAAAGATCATTGGTCCTTAAAATAAAATCCCAAAATCTCTTTTTACATAAAGTGAACAAGGTTTAAACCCCAAATTCTTGCCTCATACAGATACATTTAAACAAAATAGCAAGTACGTAATAGACTACTTTATCTACCTCTCCAACTTTCTCTCAAGAATTCCGACACACCCAACATTACTGCAACCATGTGTGCTCTGAGAAACTTCAGTTAGGTATAGACTGCTCACACGGCATTTTTCCATGATTATCCCTCATTTCATTTCATT